CAGTGGCCTAACAACACAAAACGAGCTGCTCGCAAAATTGCCAGGTTTATCTGAGACACAAACCCAGTTAAAATATGGCTGGGAAGACCTAGTTACCTCTCTACATGCCCGCTTTCCCCCTGGTGGTGACTTTTCTCTGCCAGTCCTAATCCTTGAGCCAGGAAAACAAAGTTTAAAAACAGTATAATCTACTCAACAGTCAAAACCCTGGGAACTCAGTATAAAATCATACTGTTATTATGAATCTATCTGCAGGGGTACATATACTTACTCTGCTTTGTATTCCTTCCTTTTTGTCAAATAATAGTAGGCTTCTTAACAAAGTCTAATTCTTCCACTAGTCCCTGCTTTCATTCAACATATCTGGGGGTTTTGGCTTAACCATCCTTTTGTTTTTTATTTCTTAGACAATTTTTTTCCTTCCCTTTTGTATTCTTCCAGCTGGCTTCCTATCTTGGCCCATTCTATCTTTTCCATGATTTACACTGTTCTTTATGTCACCCATTGGTCAATGACAGCCTCCTCATGCTCCAAGGCTCCCACATTGGCAGTCAGGAGACAGGAAAAAACAAGAAGGTCATAGAAAGGAATGAGAAGGTCGTTTCAAGTAGAAGTGTGCTTTTACTGAATTTATACATATGTTAGAGATAGGGTAAGGAGAAAAGACTTGATTTTATCAGTCATGTCTAATTAATATATTACACTTGTCCAGGGATAAAGTACAGTATATGCAGTATAATGTTTCATTCCTGGGAGTTTTCCATTAACAAAGTGTAGCATTTGATCAACATCATTTTGAAAAGTTTCCTAACACAGAAAGGTATTCTGTAGTGTGAAATTAAGTACGTATACAAAACACCACCTAACATACAGCAGCCTGTTTATTCCTTTCACCACAGGCCATGATGTACTGGAATAAATTTGTTAGAGTGTTGTTCCTCAACATATTTAATGGTATGGGTGATAATATAAAATTTCTCCTTATTCTTTGATAATAGAATTTTTAGCAGACGCCTGCTTACCAGAATGCAGACTCCATTTCTCAGCCCTTATTGCTAGGTATGCCCATGTAACTAAACTCTAGCACATGAAATGTGGGAGAAAAAGAAGTGTGCACCTTCTGGGTCCTGCCTTACACGGGACTGTGGCCACCCCTGCACTCCCTCCTTTTCCCACCGACTTGACTCTCAATAAGGGCTCAAGGCGGTAGAACAGTTAGATGGAAAGGGTCTGGGGCTGTGAAAACATAGAGGCTACATATTGGTCCAGTACTGTTTATACCCAATTATTATGTGTATGTGAGAAAAAGATGTTAGATTTAAGCCACTTTTATGCTGGTTTTCTATGACAGCCGTCAAAACTACAGCAAAAATCATACAGTTTAGTTTACTGGCTCGGACGTGAGATTTTTGTTCGAATGTGGAATCAGGTGTCTTCTCAAGGTTCAGATCATTTTTGCATTATATTCTGGAGTCTATATCGCTTTGTAATATGGATTATATTTTGTGTGAGCAAATAAAACTATGTTCATACATTTATATAACTATTACGGCTATGCAAAACTTTGGGAACTATTTAAATAGTCTCTAGAGAAGACTAAATGTTGGACTCTCTTTAATTAGCTAACCACCATCAAGAACAAATACACTAGTTCTTTAAAAAAGTCTAACCTCAAGCCTTTCCTTACATATTTTCCATCTTCACATCTCATTTGGTTTAAAGAGACCACTTCTTAGAGTGTCTCCCTCCTCCAGATTTCTGTGGAATTTGTCTCTGAGAATTGCCCTGAACCAGCTGCCTTACCCCAAAGACTTACCCACACCCTATAAATGCTGGTCATATGCCACATGACCTTCTGACTCATTTGCTAATGTCTGCTCCTAATCTACTTGGTTTTCCTTTGATTTCATTGGCTTCACTTTAATTATATATTTCATCATATTTAGGAGAATTATTAGCTTAAAAGATTGATATTTATATACACTACAAATGTAGCCCTCTCCACTTGGGATGCTTAATAAATACATGTGTAGCCATCCTTGGATGGCCAGAGATAACATTGGAAAGCAACAACAACAACAAAAATACAGCATGCAAAACAGTGAATGCCCGCCAAGATTTATAGATTTCAAGAAATGATAATGTATATGTAACATACAATTATATCTCTAGTATAATGCTATTTCAGTACATTCTGAGGATTACTCTTAGAAGCTCTACTTGACTTTTATTTTTTTTACAAGTCTTAGAACCTTGATTATATCCTGACCCCCCCCCCAAAAAAAAAATTATGCTCATAAATTCAGTGAAGGATTTGGCTCACTCATATGACCATCAGATAATAAGCTGATTAAAGTTCTCTAAAAATTTATTAGTTTATATTCTATTTCACCTTTACATGCACTAATCTTAAAGCTGTCACCATGGCTGACAAATAGTTTCAAAGATACAGACAATTAAGCAAATTGTTTTTCGCATCTGGTCCCTAACACCTTAGACATGAAAATGTGGCTTGTGTGTCTCCCCAAAAGGCTTATCTGTTTTAAATGATGTGCACTGGTATTATGAATGGAGTAGTTGACTAGAATTCTTGTTGACATTTTGAAAAACTTTATACATACTTGTTTCTATTTCATAGAAGTAATGATAGTCATAATAACTATATAAAGGTCATTTTGTGCCATGCAGAACATGTTCCAAATACTTTATATATCTAGTACTATTTTGCTTTTGTACTTCTGTTCATTGCATGCATTTCATCCATATTTCTAACACCTTTTATAACAATTATATGGGGGAAAAGGTGAAAATCCCCTGCTTCTATACTTTTAATTCCATTCTTTCAAAATAACTGCTATTAATAATTTTATGCCTAGATAGCCAGGATTTTGCATAGTCTTACTTAACCACATAGAGGGGTTTATACCCCCGTTCCTATTTGTATTTATATTTTTATCTATAATATACACATCTTGTCATATAAGGTTGGTATGTGCTACACATCCAGCTCTGCCCCTGCCTTTTGCCAGATGTGCTGTATCGTGAGATCATTCAGTTAGTGTACATGGATCTCCCTCTATCTTTTAATGGCTGCATAGCATTCCAAAGTATAGACAAACAATAATTAAGCATTCCTTATTGATGGAAATTTACATTCTTCTTTTGTCAGTAACATAAAATACAATGATAAATGTTTCTGCACGTTTATGAGTTTGCCTTACTATTTTCCTTGGTAAAGCTCTAAAATGGTAAATTGCCAATTCAAAGGCATTTTAATACTCATTCACTATTGAACAGAACAGAAATTCCTACAGACTTTGGTTATAGAGGTTTCTCCCATAATGATGCTTTTCCAGAGTAAAGTCCAAACTTGAAATTTTGCATTTAATCTGTTTATTACAAAGCATCCCGAAGGAATTGTAGAGTCGAAGCAAATATTCCACCAGACGACGCCATAACACTTTAGGATAATGACATGCTTAAAATAGAATATTTAAGTTAGAACTTGTAAATAGGTTATAATTACATCTCTCTTAATGTAACCATGCTATAGTGACATGTCCAAGAGAAAATTCTTTCCAGCATTCTTACTATTGATATAAATGTCCAAGTGGTGAGCGTATGTTTCTGGAATGTTTAATGTTTGTCAGCAGTTGGGCAGGGTTTGTCTTATTTTAGGGGAGCTATGTCATAGGTCGATTAATAATTTCTTATGTCATTATCGCATTCCCAGCAGATTTGATAGGATATAGGACATTTCTGGAAAAGTGACCTGAGCATGCCAATCATAACAACTTTATGCAGCATTAATATTTCAATGCGATGTATAAAGAAAGAAGAGTTTGCCAGAAACACAGAATGCTCTGTTGTCATAGAGTTTGAGCATACTGATCGTTGGCTGTCAAGTCTTTGACTTCATTTAAACTAATTTATGACACGTTACTGATCTAGTTTGTTAGCAAAACCACAGTTTATGGAAACCGGACTTTGTTTTTTCTTTTTTCTTTTTTTCCCCCCACAAAGAGTTAGAGATTGTTTTCTTTCCTCATTGTACATAGTCCAGTTGAACATTGGTTTTGTATGAGGAGAAGTGCCATTATAGATTAATATTATATCAAAAGAGGAGGAAAGATGTTGTCCAGTCCACAGGGAGTTTTCAATGCCAATGACCACGTTGCATTTATAGAAGAAATTATATTTGTATTTACATCAGGATAGTAAACCACTACATTGTGGGAAGAATTTGGGGAAAATCCTAAAGATAAGACAAATTTTGGCCAAGAGTCTACTAGCTAAGCCATGCTTCAAATAACTCCACTCCAATCTTTGCTTCTCTCACTTGGAAACTTCTACGGGGATTGTGGCATCTACAGGAGTAGTTAAAGGAGACTCACCATAAAAAGTAATTTCACCTATTGGTTCTTTTTGGTTCAGAATTAAAGTTGATACACCTAATGATAGCAAATGTGCCAGGGTATTATTTTTATAAACATATTTGGGGGTAGGGCATACTGTTGTCTTTGGAGATGTAAAGGGGTCATTTTTAATGTGTGATTCATACCACTTTAATTATGATAAAATATACTTTTTGAAGGGCAAAAGAAATAAGTCCAAATAACTGACTTTAAATAAAGAAAGTATTATTACTTTCTTTCTAAAAATTAGAGAACACTCATCAGCTAGGCCTTGAACTATGAGCTATCTGGTGGCTATTTAATTCCAACTAAGGAAAGTGAAACCAATTCTGTCTTCAACACAATTCCAGAGAGCATAGTTCACAAACTATGATAAATACTATTAGTGAAATGAATAGGTTATTATATTCTAATTTTTACATATTCTGATGTTCCCCCCAAGAAGATAATCCTTGAGTTATACAGCTACACTATAGGGCAAAAGAAACATCTACATATCTCTTTAATCCTAGCAAAATAATAAGTGATAGAAACAAGGATATTTATAAAATTCCAAAAACCAGATAATCTGTGCATGTGCCTTACCTTTCTTTTGCGAAGTCTGACCGGATTATCTGTGGGTTCCTGGGTGGCCAGAGTCTCCTTTAAGTGTAAACACTGCATGCCATCTTCTGAGTTGACCTTTGGAAGACATTTGTTTTGATGTTCTAACAAACCACTCTTCTCTAGGCCATTTTCAGCTGACATTCCATCAGGGCAGGAAGGAGGTTGTAGAAGGCAGCTTCCAGAATCTGCTTTTAATAATGGCAGTCCTCTGCCCTTGTGAGGAATAGCCAAGAACTCATCCTGTACTACACCGCAGGTGTTTCTTTCATGTTCATCTTTAGGGAAGTCAAGTTTTCTTCGTTGCTGAGCAATTACAGCTGAATTAAGCAATTGCTTCTCAGGCACAATATCTTTCACATGTGAAGAGTCACATGCATTTGTTTGGGATGCATCTTTTACTTCACTTAAGCTTATATCATTACAAAGCTCCAGGCTTTTACTTGTAGTGTCAACAGGTTTTTTCCCCCTCTTTTCTTCTACCAGTGCCAAGTCAGCTCCACCAGCCATTCCCCAGGAGTTACTTTGGTTACCTTCCATGATGGGCAGTGTCTTTACTAAGGAGCCTGCTCCTCTGATAGTATGTTGGTCTGATATCTTATGTCCTTGCGTAGTTAAAATTTGTTTATCATCTGTAATATAGGGATCGGGATCGGTATCCTCATCAGACACGTGCACTAGTGTTTCCGTGCTGGCCTCCAGAGAAAGAAACTGATCTTCACCTTCGGGGCTGTCATTTTCATCCACCTCCTTTGAAATGTGACCCATTGGCCTCCCAGGAAAGTCTCTCAGCTCTGAGCCATGGCAGCAGTCTGGCAGTGAAACACACTTCTCTTTGCGATCCACATTTAAAGTTGCATCTTTTTCCATACTTGCCTGGGAGCTGTCAGCTACTAGTCCATGATGGCATGCTGGGTTACAATCATCAGAATTAAAAGGCTGCCCCATCCATTGGGTCACATGTTCTTCCCAGCTTCTCTTTCTGATAGCTACAGACATGTCATCGTAGTTTGACGACAGACTGAGAGATACGTTCCATGTGACACTGAAGGAGATGGAACTTGAGGAGACATTACGTCATATGCGCGGACCGAAGAAGAGAGTGAATTTTATCATTTTGCCACCTATGAAAAAAAATTAAAAATTTATATATAGTTTAGGATAATCATTCTAGAGTCAAAATGTGTCTTGGAAAAGAGAGCGCTTAATCTGTGCTAGGAAAGATTAAGTAAGGGAATTTACAAAGCTTCTTTCCATAGATTTAATGATGTTATTTCTTTAAGAAGTAGCCTAATATTAGAAGAAAACTTCACATGTAATATTTCTGGTCAAAAAACGTTGACAGCATTTGAAAGGCAGGTGGATCGACTGACCTATTAATGAATGAAGACGTAAGTCCTGAGTGTTTGACACTCCATTAAGAACATATTTGCCTTGCAGTACTTAATAGAAATCACCAGAAGAAACTTGTTACTCTAGCTTACATACTTTCCTGCTTTACTTTTGTGAACCCAAGTTCTTACAGAAATCTATTTGTTGCTCGGTTTGAATTGCAGCAATGGCCACCAGGAGCTGCTCATGCAAAATGTGAGCTACAGAGACAGCATGTGTAATGGACTAGTCTGTGAAAGAGCTAATACAGAGGCCAAACTACCAGGACGTATTTACTCCAGGGAGAGACTAAGAAACATGGAATAATCTGGTTTAGCTCCTATTAACACATAATTCATAAGAAAATGGAACACAGACCACTGGCCATGCCTTAGGACAAATACATTTACAGTCATGCTATTACTGCTACTACTAGGTGGCAAGCTCATTTTGTTGAGACGTTAAATAACTTGCCCAAGGTAATACATCCAGGAAGCACACCAGGATTTACACTAGGCCCAGGTTCTAAGGCCCAAATTTAGATAGCCAACAAACTTTACTGTCTCCATGGCATGAGATTCTACCTGGACCCCTTCCCTCCACATACATTTAGTGTGTATAAAATCTAAACTCCTCAGGCAGGAACTCAGAGAACCAAAAAGAAGATGTGAGCGTGATAAAACAATGGGTACAATTCTTCAGAAACTTCGGTCTCTTTCTTTTTGGCTTCTAAGGAGTTTCGTTTATATACTTCTATTAGACTTTAGCCATAAAAATTTCAGTAAACCAGAAAACCAGGCATAAGATAGGGTAGAATATAAATACATTCCAGGTTTCCATCTCCTTTTTGCCTTGAACTATTCAAACCCCTTAGTTCAAGGAAACAGATTATACCAATGTAAACTGAACTTTGCAAAAATGACTAATCCAAATGTTGCCCCAAAATGAAACCAAATTATTGGACCATAAAAGAAAAATCCCATTCAAAAAGTAGACACTTCTAGTTTTTCCTCCACACAAGAACTGTCAGCACATAACATGGATTGGCTTATTGATTTCATCCATAAACAAGATTAACTACTACGCTGGTTTGGGGTCACTTCAGTCTATTGAAAAGGATTCTGAGTCCCTACCAAAAACTTCAAGCTATTCTGACTAAGCACTTGCCAGAAAGGTAAATATTCCCATCCTGTGAAGACCAGCAGACTTATTAAGGAATGTACTAGAATTTGGTACCCTAGCCTGACCAAATATCTTTCTGGATACTATCTGGTTCTCTCAAAGGCCTGTGACCATTTGAAAATGGTCAGCATGCACATTTTCCATGTTGGCATTCATTTTGCACTCAAAAGAAAATATAAAGTCCCTGAATTCCATGCATAAGTCATTATAGTGTGGGAGGCTACGGAAAGTGGAAAAAACGCATAGATGCAGGCCAGAAAATTTCTGCTTTCCTGGGCAAATTTGGGTTGTAATAGGGCGGTTCTGTTTTAGATGCTTTCTTTTCTTTATTTTTATCCAGTGTAGAAAGAGCAGGCTAACTTAAGAAATGCAAAGTGGTATTACTGTGTCATTCCTAAACCACATTTACATTTAAGTTGAGACTAAATTCTGAATTCGTTTCTTTTACTAAAAAGAAATTGAGTTTTATTAACTCCTTGGGGGACAGATTACATAAAAATTTTGCCCCTAGGACCTTATCATAATATTAATTTATTTCACTTAACCTTGGCAAATAGGTAAGTGTTTTTATAATGTCAAAGGAAGACAGTTCAACAAGTTCTGAGGCCATCTAGTTGCGAGAAGAGATTGTAAATTAGGTAGATTGAACACAAAACATTAACTCCTGTCCTGCGAATCTAGGTTCTTTGGACATTTCCAAATCATTCTTGTGAATGTACAGTGTCTATATATTTTTAAGACATAAAATTTCATAATTATCATTATGACTAGCATCACTACATTTTGAGTGCTCATTCCATATCCTACAGTCTGATAGATTTTTAAAAAATTTCTCTCTCCAGACTTTCTTATTCACACTTCCTATTTAAATTCTATTTATAAGATTTATAGCTATAACCTGCCTCTACGATCTAAAGGCTGAAGAGTATTAACAAAAAGTAGTGTTGGATTATTATCAATTGCATCTGAGCATACTGACCTCATTTTCTAAATCATCTGAATTGACTGGAACCCATCCTATAGATGGAGAAGTCTTTGTAAAAGACCTGATTTTCCCCATCAGCCTCCTCAGCAGGCTGCTTTCCTTAAAATGATATTTCTAAATACTAGTTATTTTGCAAATTTCAATTTAATATTTTTTGTAATCTTTTTTGTGCAATTCCATTCAGAATGAGCTCAGCAGCTGAGGATTTGGATGAAGGATCTGGAAAAGTATAGGTCATTGCAGGGTGTTGATTTTATGAAGTGAATTTCCATGGGGATTTTTCACTTCTTAAATGCATGTGTTCAAACACCACTGCATTAATATTACAAGAGATTCTATGTACTTCTAATTATGTAGCCATTTTGGAAAATGTTTGTAAAATGTCCAAATTTGCTTTTTGTGATATTAGTGCATAGAGTGTTTAGACACAATTTCAGATTTATTATTTGAGCTAATTTTGTAACACTTAACCATTCCTTGACATAAGCATTTTATGCCATACAGTATTTTAAAGTTAATTGAAATTAAATATAATTTTTTTTTATCATTTTAGAGAGAGGGAGAGAGCACGTGTAGGTTGGGGAGGCAGATGGGGAGGAGGGGGAGAAAGAGAGAAAGAGAGAGAGAGAGAGAGAGAGAGAGAGAGAGAGAGAGAGAGAGAGAGAAATCCAAGCAGGCTCCACACTCAGCGTGGAGCCCGATGTGGAGCTCGATCCCATGGCCCTGAGATCATGACCTGAGCAAAAATTGGGAGTCAGACACTCAACCAACTAAGCCATCCAGGTGTCCTGAAATTAAACATTATTACACTAAACAATAACAACAATTGGAGACCTTCTAGTCTGAGAATCACTGACCTATATCTGATATCAAATGATCATGTTCTCCTTTGTACCTGCTTCTGAAATAAACACATACTATGTATTTTGGCCTGGCAATTGTCCTTAGAAAAGAAGAACCTGATGATAATCACCATTGCTCATTCTATAGCCTGAGAGAAGGTGATGCAAATAAGGCACTTGTATCTGAAATCAAGGGTGCAGCATTGAGGAGCTGACAGCAAAGCTACCTGGACAAGTCTTCAATACCTGTTTATTTACTGCCCAGGGGCCACAGACACCCCGCTAAACATTGAGAATATAAACCTAAATAATATATTCTACCTTTCCTAAAGGAACTTAACAATTTTATGGAAGAAACTCACATAAAGAAAAAAAAAATAAGTCCTCTCATGGCCACAGATACCACGTAAAGTTTAACATAAAACAGAAGGTCATCAATTTCTCCCTCCCTGTGTGCCTGCCTGCCTGCCTTCCTTCCTTCCTTCCTTCCTTCCTTCCTTCCTTCCTTCCTTCCCTCTTCCCTCCCTCCCTCCCTCCTTTCCTCCCTTCCTCCTTTTCCCCTTCCTTCCTCCTCTCTTCTCTTCCTCCCTCCCTCACTTCTTCCCTTCCTTCCTTCCTTATAAATAGTGAGTGGTATGGGGATGGTGTAAATGTTGGATAGGGTTTCTAGAGGAGAAAACTAGAGGAATAAGGCCCTCTGTAGTAAATTTCCTGCCTCCACAACATCCAGATCAAATGGGAGCTGAGGTTCAGAGTTTCACTATTCTAGAATCACCTCCTTCAAAAAGATAGCAGGGGCGACAATAAACTCCAGAGAATTACTAACAACTTGAAAACCCATTTGTCATCTTGGAGGGGAACCACATTTCTCAGGTGCATTCAGAGAAAATTGAGGGGAGAGATTTAACAAATTTGTTTTCAGAAAATTTTGCAGACCCAGGTCTTCAGACACAAGGGAATTCATAAAGTATGCAGTACTACAAGGAATAAAAATAGACCACAGCAGAAAACATTATTGTGAAATTTCAGAGCTTTAGAGTTAAGCAAATGCACATACATGTTATCAGAAAGAGAAAAGAGATTATATATTATGTATTGGGAATCTCGGTGGTGTTGGATTTCTTAATAGAAAAACTGGAAACAAGACAGGAAAATATATCTTCAAAATTCTGATGAGATTATTTCTACCATAAAATTATATGAGGAGACTTAAAATATGTCCCCCCTCTTCTCAAGAAGCTACTGTAGGGATAGTTCCACCTAAATAAGAGAATAAATAAAGTGGAAAAGACACGGCAACAAGGGAGTCAGAAATTCAACACAAAGATCAGGGAATGGAATTTTCAGGATGAAATTTATGTAGCAGGCCTAGCAAGCAATCATTTCAAATAAATCCCAAAGTTCTCTACAAGAGATGACTCTAAGGAAAAAACATGGATTTAATACATTATATGAGGTATGTGACCACACTGAGAGGGTTTTATAATAAAGTCAGCCAATTTAGGTGGAAGAATTAGTAATAATTACATAGAAAACTAGAAAAGTCAGTTATTACCTCCAGGAAAAAGAGATTTAAAAGAAAAGAAATATAGTACACTACTTGGCTTAGCTGTGAATTT